CTTCATCGTCTAATTATTTATTGCCATATATAATTGGCATCATTATACCGAAGGGGACATATAAACAAAAAAATAAAAATGTAATCATACAATTCTTGCTAAATTCATTGTTTTTTAGCACACTTATTTTCCCATTCCTAGCTATACAAAAAAGTCCAACAAAAAAGATACCGATATGGCACTTCATATTAACAACCCTCCATTATATGAAGCTCATTGGTTCGACTACTTCAGATTCGCATTAGGCTACTAAGACATAAAACTTTTCCTACCATGTAGTTTTTCATTACCAAAGTTTAAACTCGAAAATTTTGGTTAAGTGGTGGAGGAATTCCAACTATCTTGCGAGGCCTCTTGGCAGTGATCAGATACCATTGTATTCACATTTTTTTCCAGCACCAATGACTGAAACTTAACATAAGTATATATTTTATATGCATAATTGAATGCAAATTAAGCCAATGAATGCGAATACATATACTATACAGAGGCATATCTAGTTTTTGTGCAATAGGTTCAAATGAATCCGATATTTTCGATATAGAGCATAGAATATATATATGTAAAACAATAAATATTAATTCAGTATTCATAACTTTAAAAAGTACTAATTATTCAGTAATAAAGACCTTAAATATTAAATCCATCAAAATTAAATTCTAAAGCTGCCTCTATTTGCCTTATTCCTACTCATTTGTTCCATTTGGTTTGTGAGGTCGTGAGTTCGAGTCTCCCCAAGAGCAAGGTGGGAAGTTCTTGGAGGGAAGAATGTCGGGGGTCTATTTGGAAACAGCCTCTCTACCTCAGGGTAGGGGTAAGGTCTGCGTACACACTACCCTCCCCNGAGAGGTTGTGAGTTCGAGTCTCCCCAAGAGCAAGGTGGGAAGTTCTTGGAGGGAAGAATGTCGGGGGTCTATTTGGAAACAGCCTCTCTACCTCAGGGTAGGGGTAAGGTCTGCGTACACACTACCCTCCCCAGACCCCACTAAGTGAGATTATACTGGGTTGTTGTTATTGTTGTTGTGGTTTGTGGGTTGATCTTTTTTTTTTCTTTCTTTTTCCAATCCAATTATTATGTTGGATAACGCAAGAAAAGCGGTTGTAGCATTAGTTGCATCTCCTTGTTATAAATCAAATCTTTAAATGGAGAAAGAAGGATACTATTAAAGCAATTTCTTTAATTTTGTTTTCCTTCGTTTAGAAAAAAAAGGAAAATTAAAGAATGATAGCACAAAAAGAGACGAAGTTAAAAGAACCAAAAGGAGGTTCAAATACCAAGTCATCAACGAAAACTTAAACACTTTTCTCTTGGCGTGAGATGTGGGAAAACTAATGAAAGAAATTAGGCATGTGACAGATAAAACATAAATGGATAATTAATGTAGCTTTTGATTTGTAGTGCTATTTTCATTTTGCATTACTAATATCGACATAAATTATGTGAGAATCTATGTATCAATATATTACTCCATAAGAGATTGAATGTCGACAAGAATATATGATCAGCAATATCTAGATAAGATTATGTAAAACCAAATTAAAATACCGCTAGGTTATGCATTATTAAATTTATATATACCGTGTACATCTGTATTAACAATATCGAACTTGATATTGCATGTATGGTGGGTTCATTATTTGATTCTTCTACCTTTAACTAAAGGGTTATCTCGGTTTTGTGCTTTGGGAATGCAGAAATTCTTGGTAGAACACTATTTCCCTTTTATGAATCATACGCGAGGCGAATTGAATTAATCGGGTCAGTAAGTACCTAAAGGTGTACACAGTAGCTCGTAGAAAGTCGCCTTTCTTGATGTACTAGTAAATTTTACCGTGCGAAGAAATATAACTAAATAATTAATGGCTATAAAAGAAAATGATCAATTTCTACTAATGAAACGTTTTTTCATGGTTTTACCAAACTAACAATTGTTACAATTGGTAAATGCCAAAATAGAAAACTTTGAGAACATAACTATTTACCTCCATATTATATCCTCTTAGTAATTCCTATACAATGCGAGCACTCAAAGTAAATGGGAATATGAGATAATGGGGAATAATTTAATCCAAACAATTTGTACAAACTTTAATTTAAAGCATACTAACAAAGAACTCACATTTAAGCCATATATTGAAATAACTCCAAATTAGGAGTGATTGTTACCTTCATATATAATTTATAATGTACTGTAGGTTATGAAATCCTCATGGTGCGTAAGATATTTGGCTCTGCATGCATTCTCTTTAATCCACGAAAGTTTTTACCTTTAAAACTGAGGAAATTGAAAAGCCGTTTACAGCTTGTTTGGATGGTTGTTACCCATTGTATCGTATCGTATTGTTACTTTAAATACAATGTTTGGTTTGATTGTTACTTAAATTTTATTGTATCGTATCGTTAAATCCGTCGTTACATAACGGCGAAATGTGCCACTTTATGTAACGACCGATTTGGTGTGGTCGCGTCGTTACCTTGTCTTTTTCTCTCAATCTCACGCTCTATTATTATTAAGTTATTTTATTTTATCATTTATCCTACCTTTTTATATAATAATTTTACGTGGTATCATAATTTTTCTTTATAATATTGCAAGTGTATTCTTCATATTGCTGGTGCGTAATATCATGAAACGATGACAAACGATACAATCTATCCAAACATTGTATTCATCAAACGATACAGTACAATACAATACAATACGATACGATACATTATGAATGACGTGTAACAACCATCAAAACAAGCGCTTAAAAGAAACGGATAAACGGTTTATTTCTTAAATCTTGTGTCTTTTGGTTTTTTGGCTTTTTAAGTTGAACGAATTTCACATGAATTCATTCATTAATTTAATGAAAAGAATGAGGGACAAAAAGTTAAAAAAAAAAAGAAAAGGAGAAAAAAAATAAGAGAGGTGCCATGTCATCTCTTCTATGCCCTCCTTTATATATATATAATATATATAGAGATAGAGATTATATAGACCAAAAACCAATAAAAGAAAAATACTATTCCGTAGAATAACATTTTGAAAACGTATGACCTACTTGTATCTCCGTATTGCCTTAAACTTTACTCCATATTAAAATGTCCTTTCCCTTTACAGGCAGAGGCGGATCTAGGATTTCCGGAGGATGGGTGCACTATTACTTTTTAAAAAAAAAACATTAAAGGGGATTTGATCCCCTAACCTTAGGTTATTGGATATAAGAGATCAAAACCAGTGTATCATTTGGTCTCTTTTGACCATGGGTTGCATCAAATATATATATCTATTTTTGCCAAATTATGTACATCATATCTATACTTTAACCCGAGGACCACGGGTTCACGTGAACCATGTTTTACATGGTAGATCCGCCCATGTTTACAGGTAAATAATCTACACTCTAGAGGCCAAGTGTTATCTCTAACTTTCCATTCTTCAATTATATATATCATGATGATTATATTATAAAATTATAACACTATAAACCAAAACTAATAACTATGACCGGGTCGGATTTATTTTGGATAATCTTAGCTTCCATCTCAGGAGATAAGGTGGCAGAATCAGGGGCAAGTGCACAAATAGTCATTCTTACGGATGCTATTTAGAGATTACCCAGTATTTATTTTGTCTTTAGTTATCTTAACTTCCGAATAATTTATAATATTTTTGTCCTGAAAATTTGAACTGAAACTCAGAATGCACTGACGAATTTCTAAATAGCATCCCTTTAGAGTAGCTACCTAGTATCATTTCCACCAGAATCAGGGTTGGGTCTACAGTATCACATGTAGGTTCATATGAATTCAGTAGTTTTTGCGTAGTTTTTGCTCAGACCTTATATATTTATTAAAAACTCCTAAAAATTCATAAATATTTGATTGTGAACCCAATTACTATTATATATTAACTTGAAACCATAAACCTTAAATCTTGAATATCCATCTGGATAGAATGGTATGTATATGTGTCTGAGTTTAACTTCTATAGATACATAAAAGATAACTACTTAGGTAATCTTTCATAAAAAACGAGATCAGTTTCCAGGAAAATAAGATAATTTATCTGTTGTAACAAGTTAAAGTATACTAATAGTGCAAAGAATCTTTACCATATTGATGTATGAGTAAAATTCTTATACAATATAAAGAAGAAAAAAATAGGATAAGAAAAGAATTAGACTGATCTTGACCATTGCTTTGACATGTATAGATAGAGTAATTCCCAAGAAGAAGAAAAGAAAAGGATAAAACCCCAAATCTCTTCTATCTTTACTACTCCTTTTGTCTGCTTCATTGGGTTTTAAAATTGCAAGAGACAGAGTAGAAAACAAGACTGAGAGATAGAGTAATGAAGACTGAGAGATAGAATAATCAACTTATTCTAGTTTATACACATTGGTTTGAGTACAAGCTTGGAGAGGACCAGATCTGCTGAAGAACAATTTTAGAGGTTCATTATCAAGGTTGCTTGCTTAATTAATTTTTTCTTCCCGTCTATGGGACAGCCCGGTGCACAGAACATTCCGTATTCATGCAAGGTCCGAGGAAGGGTCGGATCCCTATGGAGTGATGTAGACAGCCTGCCCTAATGCAATATTAGTGGCTGGTTCCACAGCTCGAACCCGTGACCTAGAAATCACACGAAGACAACTTTACCGTTGCTCCAAGGTTCCCATTCCCTTCAATTAACAAAGTGCCTAGTGAAAATGCCAAAAGACTAGGACCCCTTTTGGCAATTCCAGAACCCAAGTTGTCTGGTAATTTTTCATTTAAATGTTCATCTCAGACTTTTACTTTCTTGTTTGCTAAAGAACTTGAGTAATTCAAGCCAAGGAAGTGTACACGCAGCTTTGCATGTCACTTGGATATCTAAAATACGTGGCAACTGATCAATTTATTGAAGTTTTTGAGTTATTAATGGAAAATTACATGACTGCGACGGGCTGGGTCAGGATGGACTACACAATCTTGGGCGAGTTAAATAGGTTTGGGGTCAAATTGCCACCCGTTTTCTAACTAGTGCAGATTCTCTCCCTTGATATATACTTCAGAATAACCCTTTGTTTGCTTGAATAAAACTACATAATCTACTATATCCAGCAAACAAATGGTAAATTGTCCATTGCATGACAAATTTAAAGAGCTTAACCAATAGAGAAAGAGATCAGTTAGTACTAACTTAGTGAAAATGGGATCAGTTTAAGCACCGCTACAGTTGACAATAAATGGTTTGACAGACTTGATGAATTCTGATGTCCTCATCCCCAGTTTAAGATCAATCTCACCACCTCCTAACCAGAAGTAGTCAGGGTTGAGCTTTGTGATTGCTTCATCCAAAATCACCTGGTAAAATTAGTATGAGTTACAATGAAAGTAGTAGTACCACAATGGACAGGAAGGTCACTCTCTACTCTCTAGTATGCAGTGATGTGTAATGCACATAAGGGCGGAACTAGCTCTTTGCTTATGGATTTGGCCAAACCCAGTAGCTTTGGTTCAAAAGTCTGTATTTGTCTTGAAAAATCTATTGAATATGTACAAATTATTAATTCAGAACCCAATAATTTAAACGGACTAGAATGCCGAACCCATGAACTTCACCCACTAAATTGCCATCCCTAAGTACATTTCAAAAATTAAACTACAAAATAGCAAAAAATAACCTAGGTACCATTACCTACACTATCCTTAAACAGTACAGAGAGAATGAATACCGGTATATCCGTTTTCATGCCAACACATGTAACTCCATTGTGTTCATAACCAGTCAGTTTTCCTGATGTCTCCTCAGGAGCAAGCCTCACTGCAAAAAGTTGATAGCTGAAATTATTCTACATGAAGCGGCCAACATAATGTGACACCAAATATGGGCACAACTCAAAACCTTGAAGCATACGGCTGTACAGGCTTCCAACAAAATTATGGTTACAGTATATTAGTGACCAAAATACACAATAAAAAGTAAACAGCAGAGCGCACAAATAAAGTCTCTGGGCCTCATAACTTCAGTCCGTTGCTGGATGTTCTCTAAGCAAATGAGTTATTCCACTTTCCCTTAGAATCCAATGGCTGAATAACTGTTAACGTGTTTACTGTGATTCTAGTAAATTATCTACCTTAGAGTTTTTGAGAGAGCATAACTCGGATGAGAACACGGAACTTCATGACAGTTTATCTGGCAGGTTAAAGTAAACTAATCACATAAAGAAGCACAACACAAATTTCCATCTTGAGATCCTTTAGACATACATACAAACATTAGAATAACAATTTGTTCCTGAATTTCATGCTTTTAGGAAACAATCAGTCAATGAGCTGCAAATACTGAGAGGCAATGCCTGACAATTCTTACTCCCATCACTTGCGCTCCATAATACACTAAGGTCCAAATGAAAAACTCATATCATAATAACATATATGACAAAAAGATTGCTAAATTCATCCGCCATGAATAAATTATTTCCCACAAAACAACCACATGAAGTGTGCCACACATACACTTAGCAGTATCCCACTCTTTTCATATTTGACCATTAAATACGCAGAGAATAACATGCCAAAAAGAGGACCTCATTTCTATCTCCCAATCTTTCTCTCAAGCTGCAAGGTTAAAGTGGAATTAGAACCTTCTAAAATATATGACTGGCCCGAAGAACACAAAACATTGCTTCTTTATACTCAATAAGAGTCGTAAACATGCACTTTAGTCAATAAACTTGTGCAATATAAACATGCTTGTTCAATTATAGCTATTGATTTTGTTCATATTTACATCAAAAACCGCCTAAATAGAGGGGAATGGATAGAGATGATTACTTTAGCCAAGCCCAACTAAGATCAAGGCATAGTTGATTCATTGATTGATATATCAAAAGTTGCCATAGCTAATCCACACCATTCAATTTCAGCAAAGTCTTTCCGTAGTATAATCAAAATAAAACTTCTAGTTAAATATTTTCAGGCACGGCGAAGATTCTCAAAGCTGCATATTTCTCTATTGAATTCTCATCCTGATCACTTTAACGGTTAGGCATAATGAATGTATTGAGTGACTTAGAGATGGAACTTACTGTTGAATTTCTTTTTGGCTATTTTGCCATCATTGAGAGTGTACAGAAAATTCTTCACAGTCTCAGCATTGAATCGAGCAGTATACTGCAATTAAGAACATATAAGAAGCACATTATGTTAGTGGTAGCTACTGTTCCTAGACCCCAAAACCCAAATAAAATTGTATAATAGTTACCTGTACAACAACGACGTAGTACTTTGAATTGTTACGATCACTACAATCAGTAATATTAGATGGGGCTTGAGTATTAACCTGCATTTGAGCAGACAGGATTTGACTAAGATAGAAAAGAACCCCATCCATAGAGACACTGAGATGATTCAAAGTTAAGGAGCATCCATTATCTACATATCCCCCAATCTCACCCTCACAGATACACACACCAATTCACAAAAAACAGAAGAAAATGAGCACCCAATATCATAAGCATTTTCAACACCAAAATTTCATGCATAGATCTGCAAAGGTATGATGAGATTTTGTTTGAGATATTTTTGCTGTTTCTCACATGTTCACAAGGAAACAAGAAAGACAAGAGGACCATGAACAATAACCCAAATTATCACATTTTAACAAGGGGATAATGAGTTCTCTGGTTTTTGGCCATTTCAGTTCAAATTTAATTCAAAATTTTAAGATATTGATAATAATTGTGGCCAAGTATAAGCTTCCTAATCATAGGCTCATTGTTATGACAAGCAAAGTTGGATTTTTCAGTCACATGAAGCCGTATAAGGTTCTTCTTTATCTGTTTGTTCATACCTTCCATCTCATGTTCATGTTTTTTTTTCTTGCTCTTAGGGGTGGTAAGATTATAAGGCCTTTTTGTTCCTCAATTCAGTATTCTCTACTGTCGTTTATGTTTCTCATAGAAGTGAGGGGAAACTTTCTCATATGTTGCTGAACCAAAAGTACATTTTACTTATCAAAAAACATAAATCAAATATCATACTCTCCAAATTCATTCACTTAAACTTAGGTTCCCAAGTACCTTTATTATACATCGCAAAAGGTCTCATACTTATGTTTATTAACAAAGGATTTCACTCCATTGTGTATTAACACCTTTTTTAAAATTCCCTAAATAAATTTCGTATCTTCTTAAACAAGGTTACCCTCATCTCAATCTTACAATACCATGTCATCAATACCAGAGAATTGATGTCTCAAGCTTTTGCTATTCAAGTTATAGAAAAGTTGTTTAGACTAAGTATATTAAAAGTACTCTCTCTGCTTCATTTTATATGACACTGTTTTCATTTTGGATCTTCATAAATATTTGACAAAATTTCATTCCCTCCAACTTTCACAGCTTCAAAAATTCAAATCCATTAAGCTACTCAAATAATAAACTTTGATGTGGTTTTTTTCTGGACAAGCTAACTTGTCAACTATTATATACTATCAAAAAGAGCTACCAAAATGCATACTCCCTCCTCTCCTTTCCAGTTTATGTGCCACTATTTCCATACCAGTGAATCCAAATAGAATTACAAACACTTCTATAGTTAGAAATGATTAACTTTACACTTCCCATTTGACCTTTAATAATTCTTTTATAGCACCACAAATATTACTGCTACAAGTTTCAAAAGTTCTATATCGAAACAAATGTTGTGATATGTTATCACAAATTTCAAAAGTCACTATGTCACATAAATTGGAACAGAGAGCCTAAGTTAAAATGAGTATCTTAAACTACGTCAAACGCCTTATATATAAAGTGAAACCAAGGGAGTACTAGTTTGAATTGAGTACATCATATATCCTGCTTTGCACTGAAAGATTTTATGATGCTTTTTATTTTTAACTTTTTTTGAAATAAATTTTACATATTTGAAAACAGTACTACAAGTCAAAATAATTAACCACTCAAAATATTTAAAAACATATAAAAAAGTCGCGATCGAAGGCAATTCATTTTACTCTCGATATTCAAATTATACCATTCTTTTTGGGACGGAGGGAGTAATAAAAAGTAGTAACAGCGTATATAAGACATGAGGAGGTAGATAGGAGGTACCAGAACAATGCTTTTGCAGAGATGATGAATGGATGCAGCACCGAGAACGTCACGACGAGCTTCGAGAGGCCAATCGTAGTAATCAGAGGGGACGCGCTTGAAGCTGAAATCTCTAACGCCATTGGCGACGAGAATGCTCGAAAGGCGGCCTTCGGTGGTTGTATCGGCGGCGGTGGCGGCGGAGAGAGAAGAATTTGTGGTGGCGGAGGAGGAATTATTATAGGAAGTTTCTAGAGATAGCTCTAGATTTGTTATCCGTTGGAGGATTCGGGTCTGGATTTTTTCCAGCTCGGTTAGTGCTTCCGCCATTGCCCTCAACTCGTTCAGTTCTGTACTATGGCGCGTTTGGATTAGAAAATGTTTTATTTTACTTTTTTATTTTTGTCACACACATTTCTCTTATTTTTCTAACTTCAATTGTTTTTGCGCAAATGGCCTAACGCCCCCTCCCCTAAACTTGCTCATAGTTTTAAAGTGGGCTACTTGGAAATTTCTTATTTTAACACTACACATTAATTAACACTTTTGACTATTGATCATGCTTATGTGACCGCAGAGTAACTGACGTGGCAACAGTAAAAAGACGTTAAGTATAACACATCAGCATCCACATGGGCGGAGCCAGAGTGTTATTTACGCGTTTGGCAGAACTCAATAACTTTAGTTCAAGTCTTGTATTTGTCTTTAAATTCTTATTTTAACACTACAACATTAATTAACACTTTTGACTATTGTTCATGCTTATGTGGCAGCAGAATAACTGACGTGGCAACAGTAAAAAGATGTTATGTATAACACATCAGCATCCACATGGGCTGAGCCAGAGTGTTATTTACGCGTTCGGCAGAACTCCATAACTTTAGTTCAAGTCTTGTATTTGTCTTTAAAAAAAGACAAAAATTTACTGATGTACAATTTTTTAATGCATAACCCAGTAATTTAAAAACATTAAAATCTCGAACTCATGAATTTGAAATTCAGGCTCCGCATCCACATCGAATAAATGTCATTTATTCTATTTATTTATTTATTTATTGCAATGAAAATCGCAAGTGGCACTACAGCAATTCATAGTGAAAATCGATAAGTGCATGCCTATTACATGGTGCACACTTTAATTAACAAGATATTTACTGTCGCCCACTAGCGCAACAAACTCTATTTACCAAATTAGGAACAAATCACTTAGAGTTTTTTTTTTCTTTTTAAAATACAACTTTTAAATGTTGATAATATAGAGTTTATTTCAGGTAGAATGCCCTAAATGGCACATATAGTTGCGCCACTTTGTCATGCCGGTCCTCCTACTTCACTTTTTTTTCATCCAGAAACTTATTTAAAATTTATATTTTAAACCCCTTTGAACGTTGACCAAACACATGTGACAACAAAATAATTGAGCTGGACAAAATGTGTGTAATTCACGCGACCAAGGAGCATGCATATGAAGATTTTGAAGAAGAAATAATTAAAATAAAGAAAAAAAATCAATAAAATGAAAAATAAAATAAAAAGATAAGATAAAATAAGTTTAAAAAAAGAAAAAGAAAAACACAAAGAGACATTTTTTACGCATCTTCTTCTTCCACCCCTACCCCCCACCCTCATCTCCCTTTTTCCTGTACACTTTTCTTCTTCGCCTTCACCAGCCACGAATTTTCCTCAATGACTTCTCTGTTCCAGCTTTAGGCCAAGGAATTGGTGGACCTGAAAATGCACAAATAAACTTCAAAGTCACAGCAAAAGTTCTAACCAAGGTATTTGGGTTTACTGTTATGCAAGTCAAGTGACAGTGTATTATCAAGAACAAGGTATTGAAGGTTACCAAGTGTTGCNAACAGTCCCTGAAGATCCTTTAAAAGTGGCCAAGAACCTAATTAAAAATACCTAAATAATTATTTATCGACGGAATATGAGACAGAGAAGGAAGAAGGGATATGAGACAGATAAGAAAGAAAAATCTGTGCATTGCTAAGCACAAGCCAGCCCTAATTTGAGAGAAGGGAGATGAGATGGACGTATTAATTTTCTTTTTCTTTTTCTTTATGAAAATAATATATAATAAATATTTTTAGTAGATATAATATAAAAAAAGACGTGGAATATGATGTGTCATCCACGTCAAGCGAGTGAGATACACACACGGTCAGAGGGGTTTAAAATATAGATTTTGATCAACTTAAAGTATTTGGATGAAAATAAATAAAGTAGGAGGATTGAAATGTCTAACAAGAATAAGTACAATGGTCTACTAGGCTATCCAGCCTTTATTTCAAGAGAAATGATTTTGATTTTTTTTTGTGTGTGTTTAAGAATGTTCATTTGTTTTTTAAAATATAAACCATGGTTAGCTTAAAAAAAGAAAGAAGTTCTTTAAATTTGTTTAGCGATTTTTCCTCCTTATTTCTTTGATCAAGCTCTTTATATATTTAGAAATTATTTAATTTTTGCATCCTTTTTTTCTTTTCAATTCTATTACAAAAAGAAATATCTTAAAAATATTCTTAATATTGTGTATAAATTTTTGTATAAAAATTATTATTTTTCTCTTAAAATTCGTCCAGTCAAACACTATCAAAGGAACATTTTGTTTTAACTTGAACTTCGGTTTTCACATTTCACAAAGCATGAAGGCTAGGGCCGTGCATAATTAGGTAAATACCGGATTACCGTACCGAAACCAAAAATTTTGGTATTTGGTATACGATATTTTGAAATTTAGTATGGTATTTGGTTTAAGTTTTAAAAAAAATAGTATTAGGTATGGTATTTGGTATTTTAAAATAAAATACCGAAATACCGATACTGTACCGAAATATATATAGTATATTACACAAAACATATATTATCAATTATAACATAAATATAAAAAAATCTAAAATTTTAATTTTCTGTATTCTTTAAGTTCATCAATTAACTCTAAACAAGTAACATGACATTTCTAATGATCAAATATTTTTTATGTATAATTTTCTCTATTTGGGTTGATATTTGCTAGTTTTGGACAAATTTTTTGTCAACAAACATTTTCAGTTTTGTATTTTTGAGTACTTTAATTAAGAATATTAGAGTTTATAGCTCTGTGCACTAGTTAGTATTCAAATCGAATAAATCGAAGTTACCGAACTGAATAAACCGAAATCGAAAAGAGAAAAACCGAATCATATCGAATTTAATTTGGTACGATATTGATATAGAATTTTAAGAAACCTAATACCGAAAATATCGAACCGAAATATCTAAATACCGTATCGTACCGACCCAATAAAGACTTTGCACAGCCCCGGAAACTAATCACTCCAATGTGAAAAACCAGCGGCAGCTTCTGACTGTCGTGCATAAAGTCAAAAGTGCATGGGAAAGAGATACACCTGAGAGGCGGATGTACTCTTTTGGCTACGAATTCAATGGCTACGAGTTATTCTGAATCTATAATTTTCAACACGAAATATAATTTATTAAAATTTTAATAAATATTAGATATGAATTCGTAATGTTAACTATATAATTATATATGGTAGAATTAGTTTTTAATGAATAATCGAATGATAGCATGACACGTGAAATCGAAAACAGATAATCTGAATTTTTTTAAAAATAAATTACGAAATCTTACACTCTCTATAAATATAAAGGAATTGTTCCATTGTTCCTCAGTAATAATAGGGGAATCAATGGTGCAGAATAAAAAGAAAAGGAATACTATTAATAAACCAATCCAATAAATCTGCTCATTTTATAAGAATTTCCTATATGAATTCTAATCGGAAAAGATTAACTACAAGCAAAATCTCTTTTTCCTGGTTACAACAACTCACACACTTCCTTCCCTCCCCC